TTCATTCTTCTTCCTAAAGAGCAGACAGATTCTACGATTGGGAGTCATTTTGCATCATCTATCGCCTTCATAAAACCAAAAGATGTATTTTGGATGTTTAAATATACAATGCTTTCTTCTGTTCTGTTTCATGTGCCACTCTTGGTCAACTTCAACGGGGAGTGACAAATCAAGAGCTTGAACCGAGCAAGAAGGTGTAAAACAACCCCCCCAAAAAAAGAGGTTTATATGGGCTCGAAATATCAGATTTCCCCCCACTTATAAACAAGTTTTCGCCGTAAGACAATTTGGTGACAAATGTCGCCAAGAATTCAAAGACAAAGTGGTTGATTGTACCTCCTTGAATTTGTGGGTCAACTTCTCAGGGTCCAGCTCTACAGGAGACAGCGAGTCTTGGTGCTCCGCCAGATCGAAAACCTCGATGGAATTTGGAAACATGGGACTCATCTCCTCATCCTCATCCGTCGCATATTCACCCGTCTAGGAGACATCCGTCCGCAAGGAGCAAGGTTACAATATAGTAAGTGCTGTCGGGCCTGTTGCATCATCTCATATTGTACATATGGCACTGGGGTACATGAAGGGTCACCAACGTGGTTGCCAAAAACGCAGCGGGAGGTCGGTCATTCCAAAGAGGAACAGGCGACGGAAAAGGCTCCGCTATTTTCTTCAAAACATTTTGTGTACCTTAAGTGACCACCAGGTGGGGATGATGGACTACGTGCAAGAATACTGAATCCACATAGCCCCAATTCTGCCATGAGTAACTTTTAACGTCACAAATTTCCTTCTGGATGAATAATTTTAAAAAAACTCCCACAAACGCAATAACATCTTGAATGTATCTGCGGAAGACTGGAAGATTTGACAGATGCTAACATTTTGCAGTTTCTTCCATTTCCAGTGTCTCGTATGATTAGGTGTCACATTATTTGTTGTGTGTGTTACGATTTAGTCTCACCTCCTCCTCATCGTCCATGTACTGCTTGTATCGCTGCTCCATCATCTCTCGCTGCCATCTTTCCTGTTCCAGAGTTTGTTGGATCAGCTGAGCAACTTCACTCTGCTCCCCGGGCTTCTCCCGACCAATCACAAACCTGAAAATGGTAAAGGCTTTGAGATGACCTTTTCGGGAAAACCTTTTACAACCTCACGAGTTACAAAGAACAACAGCAAAAAAAAAACAAAAACAAAAAAAAACAGGACAACGTGCATGAACTAACACAGTGGTGGTTGAAATCACAAATACC